GGGGCCCTAGCGGGTACGCTGGGTGGCTGACCCGGGAGTGCTCCTGCTGCCTCTGATCGCTGCTCCTCCTGTTGCTGCTCCGGGAGCTCCCCCGCCGCCTCCAATCTCCGCCTCTCTTGCCATATCTCATTTATCCGTCTTGTTCTTCTCGCCCTCTTTTCTTCAGCCGTTTCTCCAGCTGGCGCCCTTTTCCTCGTGCGGAGGTCGACCCTCTTCGGGATTTCTGCTTCCATCTCCTTCTCAGGTTGGCACGACTCCCGGCGTAGCTCAGCAGGTGCTGGCTCCTCCAGGTCTGGATGCTCCAGGGCATAAGCTGCTAGGTGCCTATCAATCAAGGTCAAGGCTTCTCTCCTTACAGTTGCCCTCTCTCTCCTCCTTTCTGCCGTCCCTTCTGGCGAAGGAGCCTTTTCCAACGAAGGTAGAGGGGCCTCCTCTCTCTGCAACCCCTCCTTTGCCTGCTGGGTGCTCCCTGGTGCATCTCCAAGTCTCAAACCCACTGCTGGCGTCGGTGGGGGCGTGTCCTCTCCAACCTCTATCACTTCCTTTCCTGCACGTCTCCCCTCATCGCCTAGCCCTCTCTCTTGCTGAGTACCCTGGGCCTCTTCCCGTAGCACCTTCTCCTGTGATACCTCCCTTCGCGGTATCCCCTCCTGTGGCACCTCCTCTCGTGGCACCTCCTCTACTTGCTCTTCATGCTTCTCATCCTGAGGCGACGCTTTCCACTGAGAGATATCCAGATGCGCTTCTAACTCTTTCAACGGCCCTTCAGACACTGGCGGCTCCTCCCGTGGGTGTGCTGGCGACCTCCTCAATCCACCCTCAGTAAAACGATGGAACTCCACTGGTCCCRACCCACATTCAGGGTATGTCCCTTGCTCTTCAACCTCTGGCTCCTGCTCCGGCTCCTCCCCTCTCCTGGCTAGGGCCTTCCGTCCTCCTCGTGATGGTCTCACCTCCCTGGGCTCAGGGTCCCTCGGTCTTTGACTCCTCTGCCGCCTCTCGACTCTGGGCTGAGGGAGCTCTGGCCGTCGAAAGGCCTCTCTCAGATGTGCCCTGCAGCTCTCCCAATCTCGTGCCATGTCCCTGATCTGCATAGCCAGTGGCCTTTCCGCCTTCCTGGTCCAGAGTGGTAGCGTCTGCATCCAATCATCTCTCGGTATGCCCTGTCCCTGCATGAACCACTCAAACGCGGGGATGAAGTCCGACGCATTTCCAATCTCCAGGCGGATCGGCTTGCCATCAGGTCCCACAGGCGAGGGTCGCAACTCCTCCATCCTCATCTCCACCTCCTGCCTCGTCGTCGCCTCCCTACGAATCCTGGCAATGGGCTCCTCGAACCTACCTTCTCCCCTCAGTCTCTCAATCGCCTGATCGACGGTCCAGCCCATACGCCTCGCATGCTCTCAGAAATTGTCCAGGAATAGCTCGATGTCCCCATCATTGTAAACTTGAGTACTCTCTCGATGGCGAGGCCCATGCCGCTCGTATCCTCCTGATGCACCCAACGGCCTCTGAGGCGGCCGTGTCCCCTTCCCTCCTCTTGGCATGGCTGTCTTCGTAAAGTCAGACCTGCACAACAGGCGAAGGAGACAACAGGCACACATTGGGGTAAGCAAGCAGGTGATAATCAAAGCGAGCTCAGACCAGACCATGCTTATGCAGCATGCATCCCACCTAACCTACTCACCCAGTTACTTCTATTCTAAAGGCAGTCAGGTCATCTTTCTTACCTCTTCTCTCGCCACAAATTTCTTCAGTCGCGTTCCAGATACCCAATCCTTCCACTCAGTCCCATTTATCTCCTCGATCTGGTACGCTCCGAAGTCTCCGACCCGTGCGATCCGGTAGGGACCTAACCACCTCTTATCGAGCTTCCTGGACCATTGCTTCTCCAGTGATGAATCGTAGAGAAGCACGATATCTCCAACTGCCAAGGGTGCTTTCCTCACCCGCGCAGACTGATCCCATCGAGCCTTATCGTCCATACGGCTTCTCGCCACCTGGTCAGACGCCTCCTGGATCCTTTCTTCTATCGCCCCTATTTGCCGCGCTCGAATATCGAGCATTTCCTCAAATGACAGGTTAACTTCCAGATCCTGGCGCCTCCATGTATTAAGAAAGCTTTCGATAGGAAAGGTGGCGTGCCTTCTGTACCACAGTGTCGCCGGTGCGTACTTGGTGGATCTTTTTACTGTAATATTCTCGACAAAGAAAGTTGCCCTTAGGTATCTTAGCCATTGATTAGGCCTACCTTCCGTCCACTTAGCCAGGAGACTCGTAATGGTACTATGTCCTCGTTCCACGGGAGCATTTGCCTGGGGGTGCGCCGCCGTGGTGTAGTTGGCTACCACACCATACCTTGATAACAATTCTTGCACCTCCTGGCAGGTAAACTCCGATCCCCTGTCCATTACGAATTCCCTGACGAAAGGATAGCGCAGGTAATACTCCTCGATGCAGTTTACTAAGACGGACCCGGTCTTGGTGCGAATAGCACGCCCGTCCACGAACCCAGACAGGTTATCGCGCGCATCGAAGATATAGTTATAGCCCTGATCCCCGAGTGGCATAAAAAGTAGATCGAGATGCACTACGGCCCCCACCTCTCGCTCTAGCCTTGGATGCAGCGGCTCTCCTTGTCTTAAACGGGACCTTTCCTGGCAAGGTACGCACGATCGGCAGAACTTCCCGACCATGTCCATCATTCCATCCTAGTAGTAGAGCTCACTTATCTTGGCATACGTAGCTTGTATCCCTCGGTGCCCTCCTGCAATGCCATCGTGAAGCGCAGCTATGACGTCGATCTGACGGTTCCTACCGCAGACGACTCTCCTAGGATTCCCCACTTCTCTTCTCACGAAAAGATGGCCGTCTCGCACTAGATACCGCTGCATCATCCTCTGAGCTCTATCGCTCGCATCCCTAAGCCGCATTTCACATGACAGAAGAAGCCCCAGTTCTAGGTAGATCCCGTCGTACTCCTCTGCACGAAATGCCTCCTTAACTTCCCCTTCCTCGAACTCGTCATCCTGGCTCTCGGGCACTTCGTTCACATTCCCTGCCGGGTTCAGCGAGCCTGACTGGTCTAGGCTTTCCTGCAATAACGTATTAACGAGGAGATACATTCCTCCTGTCAGGTCCTCATGTCGTTCAACCTGGCCAGGTC